AAGCGATTGCTATAACAAAAACAAAGAATATGATAAAAAAATTGGACATTGGCTGAGAACGTTATGAAACTTGAAGGTGATATTTCTGTATGGTGATGACGTTTGGAGATCTATCACATGTTGAACTCTACGATAAACTGTACAGAAAACAAATGGCAGCTGTTATAGAAGAACTTTGAATAAGGCAAACAATGATGACATAAAAAGAACTTATTATCTCATATCTTAGAATAAACATGTAAATAATATTTAAATCTCAGATCTTGGAATAAACATGTAAATATTCTTTTAAATGTCATAATCTCAGGGTAATGCTTTTACCTTGAAAAAAGTTACAAATATATCTTTAAATATGACACAGCTTTGGCTCATTTTAAAGATGAACCGATATTGTATTTTCAAACTAATTACACGATAATCGATTACTTTTTATAATAGTCATCATCCGTTATAATCTAGATCAGAAGATTTAGTAATTACTTCAATTAGAGTTTTGTCAACCAAAAGACCAATTATGATATATCTCACCTGCATGTTTTAGAAAACGGTTGGAACCTCGGAGATGTCATCTGTACATGGTGTACTCTGCCAACTTGGGCCACAGTCAACATCTGGTCTGGTGGAGGATTTCATGCCGTTTCTGGAGGATACAGTTAGGATATTGGTTAGGCTTTATACACAAAGTTATTTGATACGTTTATAGAGCTAGCGATAGTTGAAGATCGCATACTGTTCGCGAACAGTCTAAGAAACAAAAACCCAGCTGAACCCACCTGCAAAATTCGAACTTCTTCCTGCATTTGCCGCAAATAGTTTTTGTCTCCTGGCCATTAGACAAACAAAATCTGGCTTGTTTCGCTGACTCGAAACATTGGAATGCGTCGCCTGACTTGGGGCACCAGTAGTTTTCTGTTGCCAGGACGGCTGGAATAAAGTAAAATATAGAATAAAGCACATACGATAGAGGATTATTTGATGCATTGAAGTAAGTAAAGTTGAACCGTCTTTGATCCACAAATAGGCGTTAACACTAGTAAAACAGGTACCCATCAGAGCCCGGGATCCTATCTCGATAAGTTTTACAAATGTATGCAATAAACTGAAAGAAGCACCCACAATTGCGACATTTGTGTTTAATTTTTAAAAAGTTTTAAAATTTTCATCCACATACAATGTAAATAGATATAAAATTATTTAAGATACAAAATATCTAAAAATCATCAACAAAAACTTACCACAGGCAATAACAGAGAGCAGGAAGATTTCCTTGAACATCTTGAAATATCAGCTGATGTAGCTACAGCACGGTTGTTTAGTTGGTGGGTCTGGTGAGTTGTGGCTGGGAGTTGACTCTTTTATAGCCAGTCTCTAGCCTTCTACGTTGGGTAATTATAGGTAATTGAATGTCAGTAATTAACACAACAAAATTGTAAGCTAATCAGATGGTAATTGATATTCCTATTTAAACGGGTTTGTAACACTGATTTTAAAAAAATCACCGTTTATCAGAAGTTGCGGGTGGCATTAAAAATAAAAAAGTGTTTTGTGTATAAGTTTATGTTCAGTGTGGTTTACTAATAGTTGTTTAGTGTTGTGTAGAAATAGTTGTTGAGTGTTATATACAAATAGTTGTTGAGTGTTGTGTAGAAATAGTTGTTGAGTGTTGTGTTAAAAACGTTTTTGAGTGTGTTGTACAAATAGTTGTTGTGAGGCGAATACAAATCGATGTTGAATTTAGAGTACACATCTTTGCGCCTTCCAAACCTATAGAGTAGTATAGAACAACTAACACGTATGACTTCAGTACTTATGACTGAGTAACATTTTATTATTTCACGTTAAACCAATATAATTAATTCTATGCTTGACTGATCTTTTATTAAGCCGAAGTGAATATTAAAGTGAAATAAAAATGTAAGTTACACACTTGGACTTGGCCGACAATAAGTAAAATAAATACAAAAAATATTCTTTAGACATAGAGATCCATTGGGCAGTTGGGCAGATGAGATAGAGTTGACAGATGAAATAGAGTTTACCTGTTTCTATGATCGTGTTATATGAAGTCAAAGTTTGGTCTTATATGAGTTGTTTTCAAATTGCTTGTTTAACTAATACAATTTAGACTCTCGCCCTAATTTGCTACTCGTTTATAAACCCAAAGCCCTGGCACAACAGAAGAACTAGAAAAACAAACTTAAGCCCTGGTTTTTACCGACAACTTTAAGCCCCCACCTTTAAGCGAACTGTCCACTAACCGGCCTGCAGTGCTCACACAGACCAACGACTTTTCATTGTACTGGTGCCAGACAAGTTTACCCCCCACACACAGGCACGTGACCCAGCAGACCGTGTCTTCCGTCATCACGTGTGTGTTCTACAAGACATGACCTTGACTTTGGGAGAGTTCATAGTATAGCAAGAAATTATGATGGTAATTAAAAAAGTAAATAGGATTTTAACAGTTTTGATAAATTGACTGTGGTTACTGCTAGCATTAAAGATAAAATAAGGTTAATAATCCCAATTCCAATACCCCCCTAACCTTTCCAATCCATATAAATCCCCCCCCCCCCTCACTGACACGGCTATTGCAAAGTGAAATATTTTCTACCAGCTAAAACAGTGTAGATTGTTTGAGGCCAAAAAGAATGATGATTGTGTGACGCTCGGTACAGTGAAGACTGTTAAGTGATGATAGTATGGACAAGTAAAGTGATGATTGTGTGAGGACAAGTCTAGTGATAATTGTATAAAGCCAACAACAAGGAGTAAGTTACATTAGCTGCGGGATAACTTCACATTTACTTCTCCACGCTACTCGTCATCATTTCTTTTTTGTGCCCAAGACACATGAGGCCGCCACAAAGAGCTCCCTCCCTTTTTTGGGTCACCGGAAATTTTCCTGGCAGTCCCCCATGACAGTCCTGCCTCTGCCAGCTGCTTTCCCGCCTCCATGTCTCCATTGGCTTTCCTGCTTACTTTTTCCTTGATGTTTCCAGTTTAGCGCCATTTCTGCGATAACATCTGGATTTTGAATTGGGATGTGCCCCATCCAACGCCATCTTCTTTTTTCAATTATTCGGAAACAGCTTTCATTTCCACTAAAATATTAATGTCGCTGAAGATGGTTATGTAACTGCAATGTTCGATACGTGAAATAAAAAAAAATTGATATAAAAATATATTACTTTGCAACCCAGTTCTAAAGACCACACCTAATAAAAGTTATATATATATATATATATATATATATATATATATATATATATATATATATATATATATATATATATATATATATAGGCCTATATATTATATATTATATATATATATATATATATATATATGATTAAATTATTTTTAGAAAAGATGTTGTATCGACACAAGAAAGACATTTACAAGCTATCAACCCAATGTTAATTCTATCCAGTTTGGGTGAGTGATATTTATCTAGTGAACAGCTAATAAAAAAAAGTTTGATTTCAAATGTAAGAATGCTTTTTTTCTATCAAGAATCGTAATGAGTTAACTATTTTAGTTTTTAATAATAAATTGGTTGTTAAAAGTGATGACGTCAAAGATAGAATTTTAGAAGGTAAAGTTTTGAAAAACAGGCGAAAAAAAAACACCTTCGTAATGACAATGATGTGACATCGTTGATTGGATCTATGCAAAATGATCCCATTTTAAAGGATGTTACAAATTTCAGGACATTGACTCGAGAACTGAATTTTAACAAAAGCACTTTTGTAGTAACAATAATATTTGTTAACTTTTAAAAAGTGGAAGTAATTAGGATTCTTTTTCTACTTTAACTATTAAGTTCGCTTAGTACCTATATTCTTACTTAACACGCTAACAAAGTACAATATTTGATTCTTATCTGTAATTTCAATCATATTTTAAATCACAAAAGACGTTAAAATTTGATGTCTTTTTTTCACAGTTAATACCACACTCGAATACCACCCCCCCCCCCCCCCATGATGTGTAAAGTCTTTTTTCAAGGGTCCCTATTAGAGATTAATTTTCCAGAATCATTAATTTTTTTAATGTGCTACAAAAATTCCAACTTTTCCTCTAAAATTTGTTAGCACTTTTGATCATACGACAACACTATGAACCAAAAACATTATCTTTTTAGGTAATTTTGCATCGTTTTGAACCTACCATAGACAAAGGCGATACTAAACTCGTAAATATTTTTTCAGATCAGCGCAGGACATTGAAGTTACGAACAGCAAAGTTTTTAGCTGTATAATAAGGTTTTGATAAAGATAAAAATTACTCGTGTTGATTTTGCTGATCCCATGCAGGTAGACGAAAGCAATTTTTAATACAATATTTTTCTTCCTTATTAAGCTTGATATCAATCAATTAATTGATTAATTAACTACGGAGGCAGTATGAGTGATCATTTGATTGTATATGTGATTGTTTGATTAATCGCTATTGATTTTTGTTGTTGATCGATTGACGACTATCGTTCGATTGATAGTTTGATTGGTTAATTGATCGCGATCAATCAGTTAATTGATAAAGTAATCGATCGATTGAATGATTGATGATTGATTGACTGATTAATTGATTGATTAATTAATTGATTGATTGATTCTTGTATTTTTTGCTAACATTTTAATTTAAAATATCAAGGGCGCAATGAAGCCGTGACATTGCCTTACTTTTATTTACTTTTATACTACGTTTAATTCTCTGCAAATGTTATTTCTTTTAAATTTTTACTTTTTATTTTGTCAAATAAAATTTAAAATTAGATTAGAATTTTGAAATAAAATGTTTCATAAACAACCATTATTCCTTTAACAACATTTTTGTTTGTTGTAACATACCATTTAAAGTTTAAAAATAAGTGAATAAAAATTACTTTTTTTTACATTTCAAAAAATTTCTCCAAAAATAATATTAAAGCCTTTCTAATGTAATTGCGTACACGTAAAGCAGAAAAAAACAAAGAAAAATAATTAATTTTTCAAATATTTATTAAGATAATAAATTAAGCGATTGCTATAACATAAACAAAGAATATGATAAAAACATTGAACATTGGCTGAGTACGTTATGAAACTTGACAGTGATATTTCTGTATGGTGATGACGTTTGGAGATCTATCACATGTTGAACTCTACGATAAACTGCGGAGAAATTAAAGGGAACATCTGTTAGAGATGAACACGTACTTTAGTGTAGAACGTGAGAATTTGTTGGGCAAACATGGTAGAATAAACAAGTAAATAAACTTTTATTCACACATTATTGTAATATTGGTTTACATGAACAATGAACATTGTTAAAAAAATAATATTTTTAAAATGTGGCTAAGATTCGATTCACCTAATAAAAACTTATTGAAAGTTATTATGGTAGTTATTAATCAAGAAATAAACAATAGGATAAAAAAAAGTAAAAAGTTTTTAAAATATTTTATTTAAGCATGTAAAGAAAACAGCCGTTCGTTTAAAATTTGTCATAACTCGTTCTAAAACCTACCTGTGTGATTAGAAAACGGTAGGAACCTCGGAGATGTCATCTGTACATGGTGTACTCTGCCAACTTGGGCCACAGTCAACATCTGGTCTGGTGGAGGATTTCATGCCGTTTCTGGGGGATACAGTTAGGACATTGGTTAGGCTCTATACACAAAGTTATTTGATACGTTTATAGAGCAAGCGATAGTTGAAGATCACATACTGTTCATGAACAGTCTAACTAAGAAACAAAAACCCAGCTGAACCCACCTGCAAAATTCGAACTTCTTCCTGCATTTGCCGCAAATAGTTTTTGTCTCCTGGCCATTAGACAAACAAAATCTGGCTTGTTTAGCTGACTCGAAACATTGGAATGCGTCGCCTGACTTAGGGCACCAGTAGTTTTCTGTTGCCAGGACGGCTGGAAAATGTAAGATTAAGAGTTAAATTTTTTACCACATTATACGATGGACGGTTACATGACATTCATGATATCATACGTTAGACGGCTACATAATATGTCTATTGAAGAAACATGCCCAACCGTACTAGCCCAGTTATACAACAAAACAAAGTTATAATCCGTGTTTTGTTTATCTAAAGCCGATTTCCCGTGAAAGGGGATTATTAAATAGTCGCTGTTTAAGCCTGCACTTTATAACTTATTAGCTTTTTTCTGCATTACATCAAATAAAAACTATCCCGCTAAGGTTTTAAAAAATTGCAAGTCTAACACAAGAAAAGCTTTACGCAAATTTCGTCGGACAACTTAAGGCCACATCCGTTATCTTTATATTGCCTACTTTATTTATTAAATAATTATTTAGGTTTAATTTTTTTATAAGATTCCGTCTAAAATTACGATAAAAAATATCTAAAATCAAAAACAAAAACTTACCACAGGCAATAACAGAGAGCAGGAAGATTTCCTTGAACATCTTGAAATATCTGCTGATGTAGCTACAACACGGTTGTTTAGTTGGTGGGTCTGGTGAGTTGTGACTGGGAGTTGGCTCTTTATATAGCCAGAGTCTAGTATTTACCAATATAATTATAGTCATTATAATTAATTAGATATTATTAATTAATACAATGAATTTATGAGTTAATTAGCTTGCGATTAGCAGTGGTACACTCAGGAGTTGGTTAAAAAGAAAACAACAACATCCTGTTATTCAGAAGTTAGCGTGTTTAGGAGATGACAGTGTAATAAACCGGGAGTAACTTCCCCTTAACTTTCTCGATTATTCTTGTACGAGAAAAATGGCCCGTTGAGGAAGGATACACCGGGCGCTAGGTTGATAGTGCTGTCTCTTTTCTCTAAACAAAAACCACCCCCCCCCCCACACACACCACCCCCACCCCCACCCACACCCCCACCCACACCACCCCAACCCCCCACCCCCCCCACACACCACCCCCCCCCACACACCACCCCCCCCACCCCCACCCCTACACACACCACCCCACACACACACCACCCCCCACCCCCACCCCCCCCCCCCCCCCCCAAAAAAAACATGTCTACCGTCCCATTCAACGAAATATAATTATATACTTTTTCCAGTGTCCGCCCCCTCCCCGAAAATTCTACACCCGCCCCCGAAAATTTCAAGTACCCTCACCCCTCTCCGGGGAGGAAAAAGTCTAAATTAAAACCACCCCCCACTCACCCCCACCCCCCCACACACACACACACACCACCCCCCCCCCACCCCCCACCCCCCCCCCCCAAAAAAAGCATGTCTACCGTCCCATTCAACAAAATATAATTATATACTTTTTCCAGTGTCCGCCCCCTCCCCGAAAATTCTACCCCCGCCCCCGAAAATTTCAAGTACCCCCCACCCCTCTCCGGGGAGGAAAAAGTCTAAATTAAAACCACCCCCCCACTCAACCCCCCCCCCCCACCCCCACCCCCCTCAGACGTTCTTACGCGGGGGTGGGGCTTCGCCCCTACCCGAAGAATTGTATGCAAGAAACTCTTCACGCAAACCATTTAGATTAGACAACATTTCCTTTTTACTTTCTCGTATATACGAAGTATAGAGAAAGTCTTGTAATCGTGCAAAAAAAAAAAATCGAGATTTTTGCAAATCTCGACGTTTTACATCTCACTGATACGGAAAAACATAATTTTGCAATCTTGTCCGTATGTCTGTGTGTCTGTGTGTGTGTCTGTGTGTGTGTGTGTCCGTGTGTAAACACGATAACTTGAGTACCGTTACAGCTAGATTGATGAAATTTCATATACAAGTATTTTATCAAAATCGTAGATCCGTATCAACTTTTGAGCGATTTCGGATAACCGGAAGTGGTACTTTTTCTACTTTGAATTTTTCAAAAGCCTATAACTTGAGTACTATTTCAGATAGATAAATGAAATTTCACATGTAAGTAAAAGATCTAATTCTCTACCTTCTGTTAAATTTTGAGTAATTTCCGTCGACTGGAAGTAGTAATTTACGCTACTTCCGATTTCTCAAAAAACTAATGTAAATTTTTAAAGTACTAATAATATTGCGCACTATTATACGCGTTTTTATTCGGCGTTTGCTTGGTGCGCAATGTTTTTTTTTATGAGATTCTATTCTATTTTTAAAAGTTTAAGTATTTAAAATGGATTAAAAATCATAACTATATCCCCAGTTACCATCCCCTGTTGTTTTATATAAGAATATTCGAGAAAGTTTAGGGGAGATCACTACCGGTTTATTTTCAATGTTTCAATGACGTCATTACATTACTGTGTGCACTCTCTGGTTTGAGATTATGTTCTACTCGACGCTAAATGTGTCGACGTCATATTTCGTTTTTCGAATTACTGTGCAGGTTTTTAAATTCCTTGTGTTTTCTCTAGAGCGTTCTTGTCAGACAGATAGATAGATAGAGAGACAGCGAAACTATTAGTATAGATAACACAAGGGTAGATGGCACATTGCTATTTAGATATGATATTAATTCATTATTAATTACTTAAACTGTCTTAACTTAAACTATTAAAACATTTCATAAAATGTTTTTAGTGCCTTATTACATAAAAGCTTGTTATTAAAACGTTTTTTTTTATAAAATTATTTTTAGTACTTTACATGTTTTTATTTACATTAGAGTTACATGACTAAAAACCATTGTGTACCTATTGAACGTGATGACGCGCTTTTGTCATTACGACGCGTGTGGATAGAACTGCCTACTAATTCGGGCAAAATTTTAATTCATTCATAAAAAATTAATTAGGCATCCAATTAAGTAAAATTTAATGTCATGTTGCATTCTCTTCATGTCTTGACCTACGTACCAACTACGAACCGTATCTGTCAGGTAGAAGTGCCTGCAATTTCACTCGGCCGTTTCGATCTAGACAGACAGAGGAAGTGAATTAAATAAAAGCTTGAAAATTTTAAAGTTTTAAAAACAAGCTTTTATGTAATAATGCACTAAAAATGAGAAAATAAATTATACACACAGGAGCATCAACCGGCGCCTCGGCGGTCATATAACTCGCTCCGGGTTTCACAATGAGCAATATGTCGTCTATATTCGTTTTAACGAGCGCCATTCACTAGGGATAGGGGGAGGGGGGGGCTACTGAAATCGATTCTGTATACGAAACTACCTATTCAAATTACGTGTACCATTCGCAGATAGTTAACACTGCTACGGGAAATGCAGGCGTTTGACCTACCTATATTCTAACTTAAACACATGCCAATACATGTATTTTGTAATATATGAACACGGGTAGCATAGATGTAAACTCAATGTATGCTACCACCATCTACACTCATTGTATGCTACGGTCACGTACATTCAATTTATGCTACCATGACCTACACTCACGTTACGCGTACGTAATATATATTTCTTATACGCTACCTCCGCTACGTATCTGCTACCATCAAATTATTTCCCAATCTACACTATAACATAGACTTCTTTCATCCTATTATTACTAACACTCTAACTGTGAGTTTCGTCCCATTATAGTATTTAACATATACAACAAGCTTACGTGTTGTCTCTGTATCATAGGTAAGTGTACAGCACCATCAATACTTAAAGTCCAATATAAAACAGGTGTAAGTAAATTTAATCTAAACTGCTGGTACGTCATTATCACTTGTGACAGATTGCTAAAATTACCATCGTCAACATTCACAGTCAAGAACCATTTTCTGATTATCTTGAGCTTGATTTACAACAGAGGATTATACTGTACGTTTTGAATTCAACAAATTGAAATTGATCCCATCAACCAATGTGGGTTAATTTAAAATTACCTAAGGTATAATAAGTGGTCGTTGATCCAGCCATACTTCGTATAGCACATTGCAAGTAATCGACTTGAAGTAGACCTCTTCTCCATACGCCAAGTAAGCAATATAATTTTATTATGAACGTTTCTATTCGTCTTATTACAACGTACATAAATGAATTCTTTATTTTTTTCTAAATTGGTTACAGCCGATGCAAATGATAAAAATGAAAATAGCAGTTTTTCTTCTTATGATGAGTCTTGCCAATATTGTTGTATTATCAGACAGGTAGGTGATTTTATTTAAAAGATGAAAGCTACATGAAAGCTTTTAAAGACGTTGTCATGTTTGCAAGCTATCAGTGTTATTTTAAGCGTTTTAGTAGTTTTTACAAGCTTTTATTTAACTCACTTCCTCTGTCGTAAGTCGTCAGTCTGTCGTCAGTCTAGACGGAAACGCAGGAGTGAAAATTCGGACAGTTCTACTTGACCGACACGATTCACAGTTGGCACGTGGGTCAAGACATGAAGACAATGCAATCTGAAACTAAATTTGACTTAATTGGATGCCTAATTGATTTTTTATGAATTAATTAAAATTTGGACCGAATTAGTAGGCATGTCTAGCCAACCACACCACACGCGTCATCAATAGCTGCGCCATCACGACCACGTAATGGCTGCGTTCAAAAACCATTGCGCGCCTACTGAACGTGATATTCTACTGGCGCGCAATGGTTTTTAGTCATGTAACTCTATTGTAGATAAAACATGTAAAGTACTGAAAAAAAATTCATAAAAAACGTTTTAATAACAAGCTTTTATGTAATGATGCACTAAAAAGTAGAAAATAAATTATAGACTACTATTTAAATAACTATAAAGAAAAGCGTGGGTGTCTTCCTTAACATTAGTAAAGGTATCCAATAGATACTAAAGTGACCCACGCTTTTCTTTATAGTTATTTAAATAGTAGTCTATAATTTATTTTCTACTTTTTAGTGCATCATTACATAAAAGCTTGTTATTAAAACGTTTTTTATGAATTTTTTTACGAGCTTTTATTTAACTCACTTCCTCTGTCTGTCGTCAGTCTAGACGGAAACGCAGGAGTGAAAATTCGGACAGTTCTACTTGACCGACACGATTCACAGTTGGCACGTGGGTCACGACATGAAGACAATGCAATCTGAAACTAAATTTGACTTAATTGGATGCCTAATTGATTTTTTATGAATTAATTAAAATTTGGACCGAATTAGTAGGCATGTCTAGCCAACCACACCACACGCGTCATCAATAGCTGCGCCATCACGACCACGTAATGGCTGCGTTCAAAAACCATTGCGCGCCTACTGAACGTGATATGCAGTAGGCGCGCAATGGTTTTTAGTCATGTAACTCTATTGTAGATAAAACATGTAAAGTACTGAAAAAAAAATTCATAAAAAACGTTTTAATAACAAGCTTTTATGTAATGATGCACTAAAATTAGAAAATAAATTATAGACTACTATTTAAATAACTATAAAGAAAAGCGTGGGTGTCTTCCTTAACATTAGTAAAGGTATCCAATAGATACTAAAGTGACCCACGCTTTTCTTTATAGTTATTTAAATAGTAGTCTATAATTTATTTTCTAATTTTAGTGCATCATTACATAAAAGCTTGTTATTAAAACGTTTTTTATGAATTTGTTTTAAAAAGTATATTAGCATTAAGTTTTCTCAAACAAAATGTATATAAACTTGACGTCATTCGGTTTGAGAAAGTCTTAAATGTCATTCAATTTTTTTTTTTTGGCAAAGTTTTGAATAAAAATGACGATTAAGAGAGGTTATCAAATGATCGATAATGGTGTTTCTAAACAACCAATAAAAGTTTGTCTTGATAAAATGAAACAAATTAGGCTTAATGAAATTAAATTAAAATGTATCTCTAAACGCAAAACAAATATCTTCTTTTGAAGCTTTTATAATATGGGTCTCTTCTCAAATATTAGTAATGGTATCCAATAAGTACTAAAGTACTAAAGTGCCCCACGCTTTTCTTTATAGTAATTTAAATAGTAGTCTATAATTTATTTTCTACTTTTTAGTGCATTATTACATAAAAGCTTGTTATTAAAACGTTTTTTATGAATTTTTTTTTCTACAAACAGTAACTGTACAAAGATTGGTACTTGTGACCCTAATACTGGTAAATACTGTTGTCCTGACTTCCATTGTGAGCGACGTAAAGGGTAAAACACTTTAATTTTGTATCCATTAAGAAATAAATATTGATTCCATTCTAAACATTAAACATGAACTTTAATAAATTTTAATGATGGGGCAGGTGAAGAAGAGTTCACATGTTTCAGGTGACATCGTTATATGAGTCGATAGTGAGGTGTGCACTATGCTAAACTGACTTTATTTTCCCTAATGTGAAATACCTCAAAGACGTCCTACGGACTTGAACTCATATTCGAATTCTGGATCTTCGGGTTAGCATTCCAAAGCCCGTCTCTTCGGCCATACTGCCCCATATAATTTAGATTAACTAATTACACGAGAGATGAAGTTGGGAACTATTTATAAAGTGACAAATAAAATGCTCATTTTATAAATAATTTTATTTAGAGTAAAAAACAAAACGCTAAAATCAGTAATATCAACTCTCATGATTTGAGAATTATTCTCGCAAATGTCGTTTTAATGATGATCATTACACGAAGTTGGCATTAGCCTATTAAATGTCAATTTTATATACGTCCAAAAGCATATCATAATGAAGTGAAAATGTAAAGGGTTACGGCATGAGAGAAGAAGTAATAAAGATACAATGACAAACAGCTACATATATATATATATATATAATTATATATATATATATATATATATATATATATATATATATATATATATATATATATATATATATATATATATATATATATATATGTATATATATATATATATATATATATATATATATATATATATAATATAATATATATATATATATATAATTATTTACTTTGGGACGATGCGGGACACCGCCACTACCACGTAAGCTCGCCTAGCAGCCCCTACCTTCCACTCTAGTCATATCGCTACCACCCACCCTCCCCCCAAGAGGATGGTGTGCTGTGGTTCACGCTAAATGTTTACAAGCTTAGAGCCAGGTCGAATTAGTAACGGCTATTAGGAAAAGATAATGTTTTTTTTAAAACGATGTAAAACTTAGTGGAGGTAGCTAAGAGGAGGCTGCTTTCATGGGGGAGGGGGGCGGGATAATGATGAGGGGAAGGGAGGATGGGGGTTATCGTCCCTTTCTGGCTACTGATAGTGTTTTAAAGCAAATATTTTCAGTCGCAGCGTTGGTAGTGTCGAATCACAAATTATGAGTTACTGGAAAGAAGAAATAAAACAATTATATAGCGGCGAATGCTACGCCGCGGGTTGGCTCGTAGGTAATAAAACGACTAAACAGTAACAATAAAAACATAGTTAATTTTCATATCATAGCAATTATTATAGTTTCATTTGATTTCTTCTTTATTTAGATTTCCAGATGAAGGAGATTGTCACTTAAAATTCCGTATGTCATAGCATTTTTTTTATATTTGTGACGGTTGAAACATGAATGTTTCAATCTAAAAATAACCGATTACAATTTCTTACTTTGTTCGACAAAGTATTAGTCTTTTACTTAGGTATCTTGTATTATATATATATATATATATATATATATATATATATATATATATATATATATATATATATATATATATATATATATATATATATTTATTTATTTATTTATTTATTTATTTATAAAATTCTCTACGTGGGGACCATGCGGGTCAACAACATCACGTACGCATGCCGACCAGCCCCCCCCCCCCCTCGCTCTCTCGGCATGCGGAATAGACTATATTGCTATCACCCCCACCCCCACTAGTCTGGTGAGCTGTGGTTCACGTTAAATGTTTACAATCGTAGAGCCCGGTCGAAATAGTGACGGTTATTAGGGGCAGATAACGTGGATTTTAAAGGATTTGAATTTAAGGGGAGGTAACAAGTTCTGCTTGATCTATTCATTGTCGTCTGTGAACTGTCGTTACGGGCGGTTGCTTCACGGGGGCGGGGGAGGGAGAGAGGATGAGGATAATCGTCCTTTACAAGTTACTGGTAGTGTTTCAAATCAAAATATTTTCATTCGCAACATTAGTAGTGTCCACAAATTATTAAGTACTGAAAAGTAGAAAATAAAACAACTAAATAGCGGCGTATGCTACGCCAAGGGTCGGCTCGTCATCTATATTTGTCAATACGTTTTTTTTGTGTACATGAGTGTATTTTCTTTTATTTCCCTCTAAAATGTTACTAGATGCTAAAATAATTAATCGTTTTTATTATTAGACTGTCTTCGAGTTTATACTTTATGTTAATGACTAAGGCAGATAATGTTATTTCTATAGAAAAGAAAAATTACATCAAACTAAATTAAAAACAACAAACAGAAGAAAACAGATATATGTATATACACGTTGTTGTGAACACACTGATACTCCGTTACGAGTAATCAAGTGCGGCACACAACATATAAGACAAACCACCACAGACGGCTTACAAAAACACGGGGCTAAATAAAACAAGCGCCGTTAACATTAAAAAAAAAGACTAATACTATTTATACTATCTACGCAAGCACAGTCTATTCTAAATACTAACAAACTAGTACAAGAAAGTAAGATATAGTGGCTATAGAACAACTGTATTAAACTTAACTAACGCTATAGCCGTAACTAACTGAACTGAGGCAAGCAATTCATGTACTAACACCGTACACACGTACATAAACGGGTACAAACCGAAATATGATTAAGTGACTGACACAGCTGACCGCACGAGGATTGAACAGGGAGGAACGGGACATAGTACACAGCACAAACAACATTCACTCCCATTCATCCCCATTCCCATGTTCACTATTCACGTAAATAGCTATGGATAAGTAATTAGCTTTAAATTTAGATGAACTTCTTATAAAATGATATAAAATGAGACCACTGAATTTTTTTTTTACAGTGTAAAGCTGAACAATGAAATAAAATTGGTTTGCAAGAACATATGGTTTTCTTTCCTTTGTACTATTTTTACTTTATTCTTAATTTTATAAAAGCGAGTTAGTTCACAATTTTCATAACTAAGTTTACAAGTAGGCTCATGTTTTAGAAATAGGACCAAGGTTCACACGACTGTTGTGTTAACAATAGCTGTGCAAATATGAAATGATTAAAGCAGCCTGTTAACTACTTAACAAATAAAAAACATCGGTTGTGTAAGATTTTAAAATTGCATCAAAGTTCAAGGAAGTAAAACTTTATTTCCCAATTAAATACTTTTATATGAAATATAAAACTTTAATTTTTCTTATTCTAAATATTCCAAAGTGCTGTTAAATCTATTTTGCAAGCTGGATACAAACCACAAAAAAAAAATTAAATCTACTTAACATGTTTCGGGGTGTATAATAAATGGTTATTAGTGTATAAACTAAATCAATACTTATCAACCATCACATCTGGTATTAACATCCAATGTTAGTAAAGTCTACACGGAGCAAATGACGTAGGCCTACTTATTAACACATGTGTCGTCTACAGTCCGATGTAAAGTCTAATGAACTCGTTAAAGCCTATGGATTATAAACGTGGCCATTGATTGACTAGCGTGCAGGGGATGAGGGGGATGGAAATTGGTACATTCTTCCATATGAGAGAAATCTTTATGAAACGTAGAAACGGTGTTTAATAGTAGTAGAATTTACGGTTCTTAACAGTTTCCAATGCTAAACGTATATGCGCGTCTTTTTTTTTCTTTACAATTAAAGGTCTTCAGCCTTTAGATTACTTATATCAAGTGTGGCACATGAAAGTAAGTAATACACAATAAAAAACTACTTCGGTTGTCATAGAACCCCGAAAAAACGTCCGCCATTTAAAAGTTTTCAGCACTACTAAAACACTACGGCTTCTTTTATGTATGCTCTTATAGCAATCAAATTAGGCTGCTCATGTTTCAGTATATATTTAAACTTTTGTTCCGACATTTTTTTTATGAAGTTACTGTTCAGAAAAATTGCACTCTTTTTAGTATACGAAAGTTTTTAAATTTGTATATTTTTTATCATAATGTTTTTTCTGTAAAAGCAATTACAATTATCTCGTGATTTGTTTTATTATTACACGAAAAACAAATAATAAAAATACGGTGGGATCATTAGTAAAATAAATGTAGTAAGCTTTTGAGTGCTATAACTGCTAAATGAGAAAAACAGTAATCGGTAGCAAAAACCTGGTCAAGAAAATACCGTTTTTTGAGTAATTTGTAAATCTCACTGTAAGCTTTGGTTGTTTCTCAAATGAAGGAAAATACAAAAAACAAATACATGAACATCCAGTTTTCCAATAATGCCAAATACAACATGGTGATGGATATTGAACTTTTGTAGAGATCGTGTAAGATTTGGGTAAAGTGATTCTACGATTTTGATAAAATACTTATATATGAAATTTCATCAACCTAGCTGTAACGGTACTCAAATTATCGTGTTTACACACGGACAGACAGACAGACAGACACACAGACAGACACACAGACAGACACACAGACATACGGACAAGATTGCAAAATTATGTTTTTCCGTATCAGTGAGGTGTAAAACGTCGCGATTTGTAAAAATCTCGATTTTTTTTTTGCACGATTACAAGACTTTCTCTATACTTCGTATATACGAGAAAGTAAAAAGTGATGTACGTTCTAAAAGTTGTATCAAACGGATGTTATTTTGTATTTTATTGAAATACCGAATCATTGCATTGTTAAACAAAGAAAAAGACATAGCTTAAAGGTTGTACTTTGTCTGTGTTTTATCAAATAGCAGTGATACTAAATGAAAAGTTTTTTTTTAATTTATTGAAACACAAGATTTGGCTCATATTTGTCCAAAAGAAAGTGTTATATTATCATTCATTTTTCCATGCATATTTCTTTTTTCCAGCACCCCCATACACTAACTACTGGTGAGATAAAATAACATAACATAGGCCCATGTATAACAAAACCCAGTCCTGTACTATAAACGAACCGTCTAGTAAACGGCGCAGTGCTCACCTAGACCAACGGCATTACCCGGTAAGGATGCCAGGAAATTTAGCTGAAACAGGCACGTGATCCAGTAGAGCGTGTCTCACGTCATCACATGACTGCTCTACATGACGTGACCTTGACATTAGACTAACACGGCAGGAGTTTTCAGATCAAACGGTACATTTTTATATTAACAATATAAATGTTTGGTGGTTTTTCACACCACCACCATTCCCATTTCAATACAACTTTCTTGGCAGATCATATTTGATGGTTCCATACTTTAGTACATCTAACATCAAATTTGTTTTTTAAGGGGAAAAAAATCAACAATATAAACTACACTAAAAAGTAAAAAGCTAATTGTTTCGTTGAACCTTATTAAAGCTATATGCTGGAAGTATTAGAAATAAAAGACAAGATGAACATTAAACATAGGCTTTAACTTATATAACGTAAACCAATCAATGAACTCCCCATGAAAGGGAATATGTTCTTCACACTCATCAATCTGCGTAACATGAGGAATAAATTTAGACACCACCTCTACACCACCCCTACACCACCCCTACACCACCTCTACACCACCCCTACACCACCCCCTACACCACCCCTACACCACCCCCTACACCACCCCTACACCACCCCTACACCACCCCTTACACCACCCCTACACCACCCCTTACACCACCCCTACACCACCCCTACACCACCCCTACACCACCTCTACACCACCCCTACACCACCTCTACACCACCCCTACACCACATCCTACACCACCCCTACACCACCCCTACACCACCTCTACACCACCTCTACACCACCCCTACACCACCTCCTACACACCCTCCCCTCAACTAATTAGTAGTTAATATCGGGTTTCGTACCTCACACTCGCTTACACAAGCGGTGTTTTTGTTTTGTTTTTGTGGGTTTTTTTAAAAAACTAAACTTACTAATTTTTTTTATTAATTCCTTATGCTCCTGAAATTATTTTCTTCATTGGTAACCATTTGTCACAAACAAACCCAGAGAATGACAGACATGGTAAACCAAGCAACAAATGTTCTACTCTTGACTTCATACAAAATAAAATCAGCTGACTTTGCAGCTTACCGGCGTCACGTTTGGCGAAACACGTGAAACAAAATAGCACATTGCCCGAAGTGTAAGTAAGTCAACCTTCACCTTACCGGAAACCAGGTCATTTCCCACGGTGTGTTTCCCCTACGTTTGACCCACAGAGGTCAAACAACACAAAGGGTAATGGGTTGTGACCGCCTACACATACATGCTAGATCGAATTTCGTATGCACTGTCTGAAATAGAGGGTTTCCATACTAGATCGCCAACTTTAGGTAATTGGTGTTTTGATGGTGACTGATGATTTGATGGTGTTTGATGTTATGATGATGATTGGTGTTTTGACAGAGATTAGTGTATCGCTGGTGAATTGTGTTATGAAGATTGGAGTTTTGAAGTTGACTGATGCTTACGTGGTGATTGGTATTTTGATGGTGAATGTTGCTTTTATGGCGATTTGGTGTTTTGATGATGACTGATGTTTTGACAGAAATGAGTTTTTTGATGATTGCTAGTATTTTGGAGATTGGAGTTTTGAAGGTGACTGGTGTTTTGGTATTGAGTTGTGTTTTGAAGATGATTGGTATTTTGATTGTGATTCCTGTTTTTATGATACCAAACACCCGTTATGAAAGTGAGTTGTGATATTAAGATGGGTGAATCTCTCATCTTGTTGTTCGCCTTTATTTCATCTGGTGCTCAGATGTAGACATATAACTAAAAGCTGGTTTTTGACATGGTACGAGTAAAAATAATATCAACTGTATAAAGCAAAGCTCTTCTCATGTGATTGTAATTGCCACTTATTTATTGCTATATGTATTTAAAACGTAGTGATTTTTTTCGAATTTCAATTGGTATAGATTATGTTATTATTATTATAAATTATGTTATTGCTTTTTAATATAATTAAAAAACAAAAAAGTCCAACTGATATTAAATTTATATTTTTTCTATTATTCCCCTCTATGCAACACCATATGGCTGAGAATAATCGTACTATTTGCTATTTAAATCTTGATCTACCACAGAAACGAAAACATGTAATTCCTTGTCATGAAAGTACAGCTGTTTAAGGAAACCTGATTCAAATACAAATAATCACACTCAGTGGCGTCGCTAGGTCAGGTGCCATCCGGTGCGGCACTTCGTGGTGTCTCCCCCCCCCCCCAAGAAATAAAGTATATATGTATGTGTTTATGTATCGGCCTACATAGGCTTAAAATTTAAATATATGCGACATACTGATACATGTATGTGTAAAAGCTTTAATTATTTCAGACTTAAGAGTAACGATGTTTATCTATAGTCTGTTTATAAACCATTGAATGCAGTGTTTCTTCCAGACTTTTTTCTCCGGGGGTGGGGGGGGGGGGGCGCTTAAAATTTTCGTGGGGGGGCGGTCAACATTTTTCGGGGGGGGGGGGACACTAGTAAAAGTGTATGTTTGCTATATAAAATCCATCTCGTTCGGGGGGGGGGGGGACGGTAGACTTTCTTCGGGAAAGAAGAGATGCCTGGAAGAAACTCTAATTGTATGTAGCATTGCTTTCTTTATACTTACCACCCACACCCACCCGCCCACCCCCCCCCCCTCTTTTAATAATTGTCGATTTGTACTTAAAAGACTATTTAACTAATTAATCACTAATGGATCTGCCAAAAATGCACTTCATTCTATATATTTTGAAATTTTTTGCCTTGGTGAAAACTGTCATTGTATCACTTTCTGACCCCAATAATTAGAACGTCTCCTTGTTAAGGGGTCATCCATAAATGACGTCACTCTTTTTTTACGATTTTTACCTCCTCCCCTCCCCTCCGACACACGTTGTCACAAAAAACCAGACCCCCACCCCCTAAAATGACGTAACATCTCAGCCTACAACCCCGTCACAATTGCTGTTGAATTTTTCTTAAAACATCGATATTTTTCCAAAATCTTGTCAGAATTCTGTCAACATAGAGTATTGTGATCAATTGCTACTACAATTTATTAAAACAGTTTTCTAAAACTCGAAATAACGGCTAAAACATTTTCTAACATTGCTTTTTTATAATGCAAAAAAGTGACATCACACCATCTGAACCACCCCCCCCCCCCTCTCCCTCATCACACACCGTCACAAAATTACGGAATCACCCTCCCCCCTACGAGTATGACGTCATGTATGGTCGACCCCTAATGACTGTGTTTCCGATACGTATTAATGAGCAATAACATTAACCTTCAGTTAATTGCCAGACTTCCAGGCCCTCGTGACATTTCATATGACCTCGGGCTGTCAACTCACGTGTCTACTAGACAGCTCCAAACATGCACGTGATGTCAGTCCCACTCTGCTCACTTCATTTAATTTTTAACAAATGTTAACACATGTGAACAGATGTTGACATATGCAATAGTGGCATCTAATGATGAACGCATGTTGGCATATGTTGACATATGCAATGGCGGCATCAACCGGTGAGCAAATCTTAACAAATGTTGACATGTGCTATAGAGGCATCTAATGGTGAAAAAAATGTTAACAATTGCGTCATTTGCTATAGTGGCATAAATAGGCGTGGCGGATGGTGTTAAAATAAAAATAATCAGTGGTGACAACTGTCTGAAGATTTACTATGTAAGAAAATCAATTAGTTTTTTTTTCTTGTGTTACAAGAACCATGGACAAATTTAGACCATCAGAATACTTTTAAAAAATGTTATATTAATGCAGATAAATCAAAATATTTCAGCACAATATTTAAGGGATATTTTTTAGGGAACCTAAGTATAATTATTGAATGCTAATACAACCCAGATTCTTGAGAAATGGCCGTGTCCAATTTTAAACTAAGTATAATTTTGACATTCTTGACCAGTACATATTTGGAAATAGCTGTGAAAAGTATTCTGTTTTTTTTTCCCGATTATTTTTACGTTTTACATTTCGAATTATTACAGTGGTCGGCGTGGTCGAGTCGGCAACGCTCATGGTTACTAAACAAAAAAGTCTCGAGTTCGAACCTTCGGGCAGAAGAGGCTCGATAGCTGGGGACAGCAACCCAGGAGAGACAACTATAGATAGATGTCTTGTAGTTTGTTCTTGGTCGGACTTAGACTATGGAAGCAAGCTCCAATGTGCCATACATAACAAGTTGACACGTATAATTTATTGTGTTGGAGGGAATCTCATCCAACACTAAATTTAAGAACGCAGAAAAAGAAGAATTATTATTCATATAATCTTGTAAAACTTACAGACACAAGTAAATTCGTGACATGAATGGCTATATTTTAAGTTAACAGACGTTTTAGTTTACAAGCTTCGTTATTAATTCATTTATACAATTAGTAAAACTGGAAAAAAATCAAATGAACGACCTGAGTTATATTTAAAAATGTATAACTTTGAGTTAATAAAAAAAATTGAACAGTCCCACGTGTTATTTGACAAACGCGGATAATGACAATTAGTTTATTCCTCCCACTGCTGCGGGAGGGGGGGGGGGAGGGGAGAGAGAGAGACGTATTACGGGGTAATTAATTTAAATACTTAATTGATTCAAATAACTGCAATTCAGTAAAAGCAATCAACTCTCGCCCTATAAAAGCGAGGCCTGTCTCTGTGCTCGTCACCCAACTCTTGCAGTACTCACCTAGACGCCAGCTCTACCAAGATGATCAAAGAAGTTTTTCTCCTCTCTCTCGTCGTCTGTGGTCAGTTTAACTTCATTTCATCAAAGTCATTTTATGACTTTTTTAAAGATAAATTTCAATATGATAACTTTTATTAAGATGACTGTTATTTAATCATTTTAATATTGGTCATATTTGAAACCTTTTTTTTTTATTCTAGCCGTCCTAGCAACAGAAAACTACTGGTGCCCTAAGTCAGGCGACGCATTCCAATGTTTCGAGTCAGCTAAACAAGCCAGATTTTGTTTGTCTAATGGCCAGGAGACAAAAACTATTTGCGGCAAATGCAGGAAGAAGTTCGAATTTTGCAGGTGGGTTCAGCAGGGTTTTTGTTTCTTAGTTAGACTGTTCACGAACAGTTCAACTATCGCTAGCTGTATAAACGTATCAAATAACTTTGTGTATAGAGCCTAACCAATGTCCTAACTGTATCCCACAGAAACGGCATGAAATCCTCCACCAGACCAGATGTTGACTGTGGCCGAAGTTGGCAGAGTACACCATGTACAGATGACATCTCCGAGGTTCCTACCGTTTTCTAAACAGGTGAGATATGATACGTGTTTTAAAGTTCTAAAAGAAACAAAATGACAAACTGCCCTGTTAATTTCAATTACAAAAAAAACAACAAAAAAAAACAATTCAAACCAACTATATTGATTTATTCTTACTAAAAAGTGAATTGAATATGAAACCATACCATCTAATAATATTTTATTACCATTTCACAGATTACCGTTTTCTAATCATACAGGTAGGTTTAACAAACGAGTTATGACCAAGCTTTTTAACGAACTGTTAATTTTACATGCTTAAATAACCTATTTTAAAACGTTATTACTTTCCCATTTTTTTGTTTTGTTCATTGTTATGTTTTGTTGAATAAAAACTTAAATTTTAACTTAATTATTTATTTTTTCTTAATTAATAAAGCTTACTAATATGCTTGATTTAAATGGGAAACTCATTTTTAAAAAGTAATAAATATAGTATACACTACTAATCTATGTTGTATTAGTATTCGACCATAAACGTACCTTTAAAGAGGTATTTTCTTTTTAAATAGTTTTACATTGATCATGTTATCATGATTGAATAGGGCTACAGTCAACGTGTATTTTTTGTTACATATTTTTACGAATATTTTGAAAAAAAAAACTATTTTTATGTATAGTTAAACTATTAAAATTTCTTTTTCAGATTCAACTGTTCAACATTTTACGCCATGTTAATTTCTTTTACTGATATTATTATTATTGATTGCTATTTATTAAATATGTAATAAAACGTTACAATCAGTTTTGATTATTTTATATTATGCACTGTACAAACATTTTAATATTGCCTTGAATAAGAAAACAACGGCATTAGTTGTAAACAAAAATTATTGTTAGTTAATTATTAAGATGGATCACCACAAAGAGTTTACTTACATAATGTGCAATCCATGATTGAGACATTTCCTGTTAAACAAATTGCTCTACCCAGTGAAACGGATCAAGTCATACACATATTTGACAGCAAACGCAATTATTAATACTCTAACTTAAAATAAATGTACCAAGCCTTGAAAACAAGTAGACAAAAAGAAATAATGAACACTGTTCGTAGAAGAGGCTGCACAGAAAACACAAAGTCATAATGAGAATACGATCTTAAAAATGATGTAACCAGAATCTCAGCACCGTAAATTATAACAAGAATTCCAAGATCTCTTAGGGGCTGAAAGACATGCAAAAGTGAGTCAAATATGCTTAACAAGACAGTAATCCATGGAGTTAAATGAATTAGGCAGTAGAGTCCGCATTTTCTAACCCAAAATTGCCCTTGAATTACGACGGATAATTCTGAGGGGGGGGGGGGGTGAAAGTCGGATGAAAACCCATTTTTCTAGCGGCCAACAGCAAGGGTATTGTAAAAGCTTTATTTTCTCTGACAAATCAGGGCCTGATCTGAGTTTGTAGCAAAGATAAGACGGCCTGTTGACACTGAAAGACTTGGGTGCTCCTATAACATAAAACGTATGTAGTGGGAGTGGGAGTCATCACTAGTCGCAGAAATAAGTAGTACTCTTTAATTCTCTTTAAAATATAATATTTAATTACGTCTTGCAGTTTTATTTAAAACCATTCTGCTCATTCGATCTAATGACACAATTGACATTAAACCTTTTTATTTTTTAACTAGTAGTCGTTTTCAAATTATTAAGTTTATTGCAATTACAATAGCTTTTTACTTTCCATAATGGTTTTTGTTTTACCACATATGGGCTAGGCCAACACTACCTATTCAAGAAATACATTTGTAAAGAGCATAATTTGTTTAAGGGCTACATTTTTTTACTCAAACAACTCGGTGGTCCTGGGACCTGGCGGAGCCCGTGGATTTTGTCCTACTTGGTAATAAGGTTGTTACGCCACTGTATGTCGCCGTTCTGGACAAGATTCTAGTCACATGCTGATTGGGGTATACACATCGTACACTAAGGAGCAGAACCAAAGTAAATACAATGTCGTGGCCTTATGAATGTTTTTAGACTCCGGTGTTTTGGAAATAAATTTTATGCTCATCTAAACAGACACAATGCTACTGGAACATTTGTGTGTGTATGTGTTTGTGTGTGTGCGTGTGTGTTTAAAGCAAGAGCAGGAAATACTTGGACATAGCATTATAATTATTATTATTCAATTATTACAACAAAAAAAATATTTTTTTAATTTCGTTTTTAAAATAAATATTTGCTATGTCTAAGGTAGCTTTGAAAAAAAAACCCATGATATAGTTTACTGAACATTTTAATACAAGGCACTTGACGTTTGTCCATGTGATCAAAACACTCAATGTTTCTTAGAGGGTATCCAGGCACCACATACTACTTCTGGCACCACATACTACTGCAGGCACCACATACTACTGCAGACAGTACTGCAGGCACCACATACTACTGCAGGCACCACATACCACTGCAGGTACCACATACTACTGCAGGCACCACATACTACTGCAGGTACCACATACTACTGCAGGTACCACATACTACTGCAGGTACCACATACTACTGCAGACAGTACTGCAGGCACCACATCCTACTGCAGGCACCACATACTACTGCAGGCACTACTGCAGGTACCACATACTACTTCTGGCACCACATACTACTGCAGGCACCACATACTACTGCAGGCACCACGTACTACTGCAGGTACCACATACTACTGCAGGCACTACTGCAGGTACCACATACTACTGCATGCACCACATACTACTGCAGGCACCACATACTACTGCAGACACCACATGCTACTGCAGGCACCACATACTACTGCAGACACCGTGCCGCATATTGTGGTATTACTGGACCGTGAAATAACGATAGCTAATTACGTTGTTTTAGCTTGACGACTAGTATAATTGACAATTGGGGATCGTCGTTGTTTAGTTGTAGAGCGCTAGACTTCAAGCCCGAAGGTCTCGAGTTCGGATCCCGGAATACGTGTTGTTGACAAGCATGTTCAATCTTGGTTCTATACATCATTTATTTTAAGTTTACAGCTTAATCTTTCTATTCAAAATTATCACAGAATCCACTTATATTTCTCTCGTTGCTTAGCATTGGAATTTTGCCAATAGACATGTGTACTTGTCAATTGAAAAGGAATTTTTTTTCTAACAGAAAGCATGGTATCTAGACAGGTAGTTTCAATACTTATACCAGCTCATCTGCTGGTAGAAATATCGATACTACCTGATGTATTAACTCTCATAGTATCACACTTATACCAGTGTAATACTCTCATTAGTATCACATTATTCATCTTCATCATCATCATCAGTGGCGTAGCGAGGTCGAGTGTCACCCGGTGCGGCACTTAATGGTGTCACCTCCCCCCCCCATGTATATACGCATGTGTATATGTATTCACATATTTTTTTAATGTATTTATTTTTTTATACCTCTGATGATCATACCAAAACATTATTTACTCATACGGAATAGTTGTCTGGATAGATCTCCACAGCACTACTCATCCAACATATTCTAGACTTTGAAGAACAACCCGCCTCCCCCTCCCCCTCCCCATCCAATGTGTTTCCCCCAAATACACACTGACACACAAACATATTCGGTACTATAACTGGAACTTCTTTGTGATCAGAGTTTCTTCCAGACTTTTTTCTCCACGGGGGTGGGGTGGAATTGATTTTTTCGGGGGGGGGGGGGCGGTCTACATTTTCCGGGGGGGGGGGGGCGGACACAAGTAAAAGTATATGTTTGTTTACTATATATACTATAGAGCCCCCCCCCCTCGAAGAGATGCCTGGACGAGTCACTGTTTGTGATAAGTTGCTAATATTTTTTGTTCTACATTAAAACATCTAGTTTTAAAATTCTCTTTTACCATGTACTTTAGTGTTTTAACTTTCTCAAATACAGAGGAACCTACCTCCAGGCTAAGTATTGTTGTCGTGCAAAACATCGGTATGCCTGTGAACACGATAACTTGAGTACCATATCAATTATATTGATGCAATTTCACAGAGGAGTATTATATTACATTTCTATTATTCTTTCAACTTTTGAGCGATTTCTGGTAACTTGAAGTAGTAGTCACACTATTTTCGGTTTCTCAATAGCCGACAACTTAGTGCCCTTTTAGTTAGATGTACGAGATTTCATAAATAAGTATAACATAGTGTGCCATTTTTTTTTTCATTTCTCATAGAGCACTGAGATTTTGATAATTTTATAATATAGGCCCTACTTTTAAAGCAACATAAAAAAAAACACTTTTTTTTGCATTCATGTGTTTACCCGAAAAGCGAGCGGTTTTGTCTCAAACTTCTAGATTTCTATAGCTCGGTTGCACTGGAAGTACTTTCTCAACGTACATTGTTAAATGAGGGGGAAAATACGGGACAGTTTAGGGGAGATCACTACTGCTATAGTTTGTTTGGTCTCCCTTTGTTTATGTAAGTGTATACAATTTGACATCTAGTACAGTCAATAGTAAAGTTGGGTGCGTTCAATTTATAAAAATATAGACATTTTTTGGGAAAGAGTTCACCTATTCACCTACACATTATTTATTGCAGTTCATCGTGTAGTTTGACCAGTGATTTATTTTTTGCAGTAGAGATATATTTTGTTTTAACAATGTCAACTGCCATGTTTTCTTCAGTTAAATGTTGGCTCTTTCTGTTTTCTAGATTACATTTTCAAAACCTTTCATTCACTAGTACCACCAAACAGAAATTAATCATAACAAAAATCTTGAACATTTTGCTAATTTGTTTTATTAACACGCCAAAAGCATAATTTTATATACAAAGCATCAACAGAAACATGACGTCTTTATTAACATGGAGATCACAAATCAATCTGTGAAATGGTAATAAAATATTATTAGATGGTATGGTTTCATATTCAATTCACTTTTTAGTAAGGATAAATCAATATAGTTGGTTTGAATTGTTTTTTGTTGTTTTTTTGTAATTGAAATTAACAGGGCAGTTTGTCATTTTGTTTCTTTTAGAACTTTAAAACACGTATTATATCTCACCTGTATGTTTAGAAAACGGTAGGAACCTCGGAGATGTCATCTGTACAGGGTGTACTCTGCCAACTTGGGCCACAGTCAACATCTGGTCTGGTGGAGGATTTCATGCCGTTTCTGGGGGATACAGTTAGGACATTGGTTAGGCTCTATACACAAAGTTATTTGATACGTTTATAGAGCAAGCGATAGTTAAAGATCACATACTGTTCGTGAACAATCTAACTAAGAAACAAAAAACCCAGCTGAACCCACCTGCAAAATTCGAACTTCTTCCTGCATTTGCCGCAAATAGTTTTTGTCTCCTGGCCATTAGACAAACAAAATCTGGCTTGTTTAGCTGACTCGAAACATTGGAATGCGTCGCCTGACTTAGGGCACCAGTAGTTTTCTGTTGCCAGGACGGCTGGAATAGAAAAAGGTTTCAAATGCGACTAATATTAAAATGATTAAATAACAGCTATCAAACTTATTGTAAATACATAATTATATTAATTTAAAATAACGAAATAAAATTGAAAAACATCTAAATAAAAGTCATCACATTGAGATTGATCTTTAAAAAAATTTGATGAAATCAAGTTAAACTGACCACAGACGACGAGAGAGAGGAGAAAAACTTCTTTGATCATCTTGGTAGAGCTGGCGTCTAGGTGAGTACTGCAAGAGTTGGGTGACGAGCACACAGCCAGGCCTCGCTTTTATAGGGCGAGAGTTGATTGCTTTGACTGAAGTGCAGTTATTTGAATCAATTAAGCATTTACGTTAATTTCCTTAATTAGTATTTCCTGAAAACATGAAAATTTACATTATCCGGAGGGATCAAATAGGGAGTACCAGAGTGAACTGAGTAAAACATTAAAGAACTAAAGCTCCTCTATAAAAAAAAAAAATCATTAGTTAAACAGCAGCCGTTGTGTGAATTGAAGTCACTGTTGCAAATATCAGAAGCACTTTCCCACTTAACCCTCTGAGAACTAATGAGCGGTAATTTACTCTACGTCACGTGCATGATCTGTCACGGTAGACACGTGAGTCGACAGCTCGTGTCTCTAGGTCACGGGTGCGCGAGGTCTGCTTTTGTTGAGCTTGGAGAAGTATCAATGGCTGAATGTCAATGCTAATTTCACGTGACAACCTAATGCTATGTTGAACGTGTTTTGAAAGTAGAAATTTGTATAGCTATGAAATATGTGTTCAATATTTTATAAATTTTATTTTTTTTGGCGTTTCTAACATGCAAATAATGTTCACATCTTAAAATGTACGAGCTGACCCACACTGTAAGCATACGCCGCTATTTAGTTGTTTTATTAGCTACTTTTCAGTAATTCATAATTTGTGAATTCGACAGTACCCTCTCCCCCCCCCCCCATCCCCCCCCATCCCCCCCCCCCCTCCTTACTTGGTGGTGTCTTCTATGGTACCCACGTAGAGGATTATATATATAGATGCTGTTATAAATTACAGCTTAATGACAATTTTTTCTCTATTGATCAGCAGTTTTCTTACAATTCTGAAGCGATGTAGCTTAACATTTTCTAATCCTACACATTTTTATGTTACCGACGTGGTGTTAAACGTTGATTTACTGAATCTATTTTATCATCAATACATTTTTAAAGCTTTTTTTTTTCAGTAGCAGTTCATTTATAAAATATTGTGAAAACGTGATGGATAGATAGTCCCTTCATAATGATGACTATTTTTTTAAAGTTATTATCCTAGCCACTAAACTACTTATTTTGCTCCATAATCTTTTTAGAAATAGGCCCAACCGTATATTTTAAATTTCACTGTAGGCTTACGAGCATTTTTATTTTGTGTTTGTGGTTAAATATAATTTACGTGTCTACTTTCTTAATTTAAAAAAAAAATCAAACAAATAAAGTTATTAGAAAGTTAAAGTAAAACTAAAAAAAAATTGTACATGACGGATAAATTTGTAAGCAGTCAGAAATTTTAGAAGTTTGAAAAGGCTTGTTTACTGTTTGTATGTATGATATATGACCTATTTCTTTCCTTCTAATTGCTTGTACCCCTCTAGGTTAATTTCCATTTAATTAGCAATTAGCACCGGGTAAACGATCGGTGCAATTGTCATCAACCCACTCGAAAACGCCAGTTTGTCTAAGTGAGGTACTCATCTAGAGTTGAGTGTGAGCTCGAGGTGGAGACTCACGTGTTGGCTGTGTAACCAGTCACGTGGTTTACTGTAACCGGTCACATGGTTTACTGTAACCAGTTGCATGGTTTACTGTAACCAGTCAAATAGTTGACTGTAACCAGTCAAATAGTTGACTGTAACCAGTCAAATAGTTGACTGTAACCAGTCACATAGTTGACTGTAACCAGTCACATAGTTGACTGTAACCAGTCACATAGTTGACTGTAACCAGTCAAATAGTTGACTGTAACCAGTCACATAGTTGACTGTAACCAGTCAAATAGTTGACTGTAACCAGTCACATAGTTGACTGTAACCAGTCAAATAGTTGACTGTAACAAGTCACATAGTTTACTGTAACCAGTCACTGGTTTACTCTTATCAGATATTTTTTGTACTATCATGATAATTCAGTTAGAGAAGAAACACACAAACACACACATGATCACAAAAACAACACACACACACTAACAAACACACAAAAATATACTAAATTTCTACACAAAAAAGTGGGTAAAGTGATGTAGTGGGAGGGGGGTAGGGATGGGTGGAATTGTTGAGTCCACTTGGCCATGATTTTCTAACTCACGTGTTAGTGTAAATGCTTTTATGTTATTGTTGGTTGTACGAGAGGGGTATGGTATTTCAGAGGCGTAGCGAGGGGGGGACGGGGGGGGGGGACATATATCCCCGGGCGCCGACCTTAGGGGGCGCCAAATTGAAAGTTTGAGGGGGGGGGGATGCAAATGAAAAGTTCGAGGGGGGGGTGCAAATCGAAAGTTTGAGGGGGGTGCAAATGAAAAGTTCGAGAGGGGGGTGCAAATCGAAAGTTTGAAGGGGGGTGCAAATGAAAAGTTCGAGGGGGGGGTGCAAATCGAAAGTTTGAGGGGGGGGGTGCAAATGAAAAGTTCGAGGGGGGGTGCAAATCGAAAATTTGCTCCGAGGGGGGCGCCAAATTGAAAGTATGTCCCCGGGCGCCGGGAAGGGTCGCTACGCCTCTGTGGTATTTGAGGTGGGTGTGAGGGGGAGGGGTGGAATAGTGAGATGATTAAACGAATATTTATCACTCGCTGTGCCATTGATAATGCTAATTTAATGTATAAATAATATATCAAGATATTCCACATGAGTTTCGGTAATTTTCACCGCATGCTAATGTGTTAAGAAAACTGGAGTAATTGTTATAATTGTTAATTAACGTAATTATGTTTAGACCAGTCTCCCTATAAAAGCGAGGCCTGGCTGTGTGCTCGTCACCCAACTCTTGCAGTACTCACCTAGACGCCAGCTCTACCAAGATGATCAAAGAAGTTTTTCTCCTCTCTCTCGTCGTCTGTGGTCAGTTTAACTTCAATTCATTAAAGTCATTTATGACTTTTTAAAAAGATAAATTTCAATGTGATGACTTTTATTTAGATGACTGTTGTTGGTTTTTAAAAATTTGTTTCGTTTTTTTTTAAATAATTAAAGTATTATTTATAAGTTTAATAACTGTTATATAATCATTTTAATATTGGTAACATTTGAAAACTTTTTTTTCCCATTCCAGCCGTCTTGGCAACAGAAAACTACTGGTGCCCTAAGTCAGGCGACGCATTCCAATGTTTCGAGTCAGCTAAACAAGCCAGATTTTGTTTGTCTAATGGCCAGGAGACAAAAACTATTTGCGGCAAATGCAGGAAGAAGTTCGAATTTTGCAGGTGGGTTCAGCTGGGTTTTTGTTTCTTAGTTAGACTGTTCACGAACAGTTCAGCTATCGCTAGCTCTATAAACGTATCAAATAACTTTGTGTATAGAGCCTAACCAACGTCCTAACTGTATCCCCCAGAAACGGCATGAAATCCTCCACCAGACCAGATGTTGACTGTGGCCCAAGTTGGCAGAGTACACCATGTACAGATGACATCTCCGAGGTGCCCGACATTTTCTAAACATACAGGTGAGATATATCACTTTCTAAACATACAGGTGAGATATATCACTTTCTAAATATACAGGTGGGATTTTAAAAAACAACAACTTGCATTCGTTTTTAGAGCTTAGTTATTTGTTATTATTTTTTTTTTAATCATGATTTTTCCGATTTCACGATTAAGCTTATGAAATCAGAAATTTGAAAATGTAATACTTAAGATATAACACAAAAGAATTTATAAGTAGATAACCAATAACGCTTTTTAAAAGGCCAAATACATAAATAATTATCTACACGAAGTCCTCAAATATAATTCTATAATTAAATCTTTAAATTGACATTTTGGTATTTTCAATTCACAGATTGAGTAATGTCCCTTCTGTTAAATGACGACATAATATTGAGATTTTGCTGATGTTTTGTATATAATATTAAGTTATTTGAGAGGTAATAAAATAAAATTCAACCCTTCAAGCTCTTGCTCTTATGTATGTTGACTGTGTGTTTATGGAATGAAAGAAATGAGTTTTATAAATTGTACAAGAAATTGAAAATTGAACTCAAAGACAATGATAAGTTTAATGCTTAATTTTTTACATTTTTGGAAGAACGTCATACTAATTAAGCCACAAACCTGTGTTTTGTTAATTAGACATGCATCATTTGAAGAGGCTGAAACTCAAATAAAATTTTCTAGCACTAGAAAAGGCAAACAATAATAATATTAAATGCATTGATCATGATCGGGTCTATATCTATAAAGCTCATGGTCTTTAAACCGAAAAGTCTCTAGGCTTGATAAATGTACAGCCACCCTTAGATTGAAAACTCCAAAATCAAACAGCTGTATGGCGCATAATATGGTTGACTCGTAATATTTTATTTTGTTGGTAAAAAAAAACATGACCTTCATTACAATTACAACCGATGAAGAAAAATGCATCGATATTTTCAAAAGTGAAAATAATTAAATTAAATTTTGAAAAAAAACAACGACAACAGCAACGAGAAAACACAACATAGTCGTGCAAAACAAGGGTCGGAAACTCCTAAAAAACAACATCACCTACTTCGTTAACATAAACGACTTGGGATATAAAACGTGCTAGGAATTCATCACATCTATCTTTAAGAAAGACACAGTTGATTAAAAACAGACAGTCGGCCATATTTAGATTGCTAGTTTGAAAAATGTGTACCAATGTTGAACGTAACAGCCACATTTAGCATGTATGTGATCTTTTTCAAACTGTAAATTTATAAACATCTCGGACTGAATGGGCGGGCGGGCGGGCGGGCGACCACATGAGTGGCGAATGTTAACCCTTAAGTCCAAACTCTCCGTGTGTTAGCTAGGAACAGTAACTCATCAAGGGGACAAAACTCTGGATTTGCCTTTGTACACCTAAAAATAAACAGCAAGGCAGAAGCTGTTTGGTTTATGAGTTTTCTCTCCCAGATTATTGTCGTCCGAAGCTAACAAGCCACATCGTAAATTCTCCCTCCAGTCCATGCGGATGGACATATCTTCACAATCTACAAACGTCGACCCAACCTTCTTCCACTGTCTTTCTAATGTCAACATCTTACACTACCCAGAAATCTTTACGTTGTAGTGTTCGCTAGTTATCTATCACTGTCAATGTTTTATTTAACATCCATAACAAGTCTTGTCTCAGTAACCCTAACGTTTAAATATTGAGTTACACTAAATTTACAATCATTGTCAAGTGCCGAAATTTTAAAAGTATTAATCGATTGATTCTTAATGTCAATCATACATTTCTTTTCTTGTATTATCAACAACCAGCCAGCGCCTACTTTGCAACCCTAGTTTTGGTGCGATCAGAAGAAAATTGTGCACTGTTTAGCACCAGCTTTGAACGTCACTATAGCCCACAGACATCTTAGGAGTTGCGGCATCCACGTTAGTTTTCTTGCATCCAGTGCAAGAAAACTACACACAATGTAGAGTATATTTTTTATTGGAAGTTAGGGTGGGGTAAGGAGAATCATACGCTTATTTAACCTTTCATCCTGCACTTTAGGATTGTTGTGTAGTAAACCTTTTTCGAGTTCCATTTTCATGAAGCGCACGGTGAAGAGTAAAGTTTTTTTTCGAATGGTGCAGTCTTAGACTGTAGAATCTAGGTTTAGATCTAGATCTAGATCTAGATCTGTTAAACATTTTTGAAATCGTGTGAAGTTCTGTCAAAATTAATGTGGTTATAAAAACTTTACTGTGAGTTTTTTTTTTTTTTTAAATCAGGTTTTACTAAAGTTTGGATGTAGATCTAGATTCTAGACTAGATCTATTTGGTGTTATATTTCCGATGATAAAACAATTTTTAAAAAGCCAAAAACCATTTGGGCTTATTAATTTTAGAACAGATAATGTAAACAATAAATGACCAAACAATGAAACGTGGTTTAAACATTTTTTTAAATTGAAAAATTGTATCTGCAATATTTTGAGAATAAATTAGTATGAAGTGGGGTTTTCAGATAATCGTTTACAACGCTCTTGTATAGATCAATGTTTGTCTTACGAAAGGGAAACATCAGGTTACAAATTAAGCTTGATGTTTATAAATTGAAATGTGGCCTTAAAATAAAAATATATTTTCAAGTTCTCTTGATTTGAACTTTTATAACATTGATTCTAAAAATAAGTTTATTCCTGCACGGCTGCGTTATGGAAAAAAAAACACGTTTTTTTTTAAAAAATTCATCACAACAATCGAACTCAACTCGTCAAACATGTCCACCTCATTTATAGATTCCCACTCTAAATACTCACTTAATAAGTGAAATAACAATACTAGGTTAAAATGTGTAGCTCGGTAGTTTTAATTTTTTTTTAATGTTAATATTTGAAATTAATACTAGTAAAATTAAAATCATGATCGTAAATATGATCAGAGTTTCTTCCAGGCATCTCTTCGGGGGAAGAAAGTCTACCGCCACCCCCCCCCCCCCCACCCCGAACGAAATGAAATTTATATAGAAAATATATATTTTTGACAGTGTCCGGCCCCCCGAAAATTGTTGTCCACCCCCCCCCCCCACCCGAAAATTTCAAGTGCACCCCCGGAGAAAAAGGTCTGGAAGAAACACTGAATATGACAGTATAAAACTAGCAACAATGCACAACTAGCGATTGATTTTAAAGTTTTATATAAAATCTTGCCTCAAAGGCAAAGGACTTAGGCTACTATGTAAAACCTAACTATGTGATAGTATGATTATAAATAAAATCATCTATTAAAAAACATGATTTATTTATAGAAATGTTTTGTTCATAATATTTTGTAGCAAAACACTTTCACATCTTGTTTCTTTGACCACAGGTTTCTCTAAAAACCGCAAGAACATTCGCCAACAATACACATTCCCCCAGAAGTTAATTAATGAAACGGAATCGGAAAGCTTAGTGAATTGAATACAAATTCTAGAGAAACAAAACATGCATCATAGGTCATCTGAACAATCTAGCAAAGCGATGCTTGAAGCATCTATCGTCCGGTGGAATGTGCAGTAGACGTCAGCAAGCCTTGGAGTTGTGAAGAACGAACAATGGCGTTGAATATGGATCACCCCTCCGCCTTCTCGGTTCCCCAAAAGAAGGCAAGCGCACCCGTCCAGCTCTCTAAAACTACAAGTCAGTTGAAAAAACCGGCAGTTACCAAACAAGGAAAAGATGCTATGAACCGTTTAGCGGCTGAAAAAAATCCTATATTCAGGTAACTTGTTGCTTCAAAGCCGGGCAGTCAATTGCAAATACTATCATTAATCTTTAACTCCAGGAGAAACCGATTCCCTTGTTTATCAAAACAATCTCGTAACGAGTTTTCCTCAGGTTAGGATTATGATCAGTACAGTTTAGGGCCACTACCTCAGCTAAATTACTGTTTACTAATGCCCTGATGGGAAATATATTAAAAGGTCCCTAAAACTAAAAAACATACAGAACAGCGACTATGTACCTTAATTAAAAAATTTTTTAGCAGTTAAAAGAACGCCAGCAAGTAAGTTAACTCTCTCTCCCTGTTACCCCCTTGATCCACCCTTCCCCCACCCCTCTCTCCATTACATCACCATAGACCCTCTTCCCTTATCAACAGATATAAGTCAACGATAGGGCACTTGCCAAAAGAAGCTGAAACATTTGTTTACGTCAAGAGAAAAGATAGGGTGAGAAATAAAATTATCGTAGTTCCAGAGATGGTTTATCCCCTTGAAGCAAACAGGTCAGTTCTTTGATATTACTCACGATGTTATATACATAACATACATTGCTCCATCTTTTGCCGGACTTTATTTCTACCCTCACACACACTGCCGTCCATATTTTACCCACATTGTTCCATCTCTTGCAGGATTTGTGTCCACACACAGCCGTCCATATTTTACCCACATTGTTCCATCTCCTGCAGGATTTGTGTCCACACACCACACACTGCCGTCCATATTTTACCCACATTGTTCCATCTCCTGCAGGATTTGTGTCCACACACTGCCGTCCATATTTTACCCACATTGTTCCATCTCCTACAGGATTTGTGTCCACACACCACACACTGCCGTCCATATTTTACCCACATTGTTCCATCTCCTGCAGGATTTGTGTCCACACACCACACACTGCCGTCCATATTTTACCCACATTGTTCCATCTCCTGCAGGATTTGTGTCCACACACCACACACTGCCGTCCATATTTTACCCACATTGTTCCATCTACTGCAGGATTTGTGTCCACACACCACACACTGCCGTCCATATTTTACCCACATTGTTCCATCTCCTGCAGGATTTGTGTCCACACACCACACACTGCCGTCCATATTTTACCCACATTGTTCCATCTCCTGCAGGATTTGTGTCCACACACTGCCGTCCATATTTTACCCACATTGTTCCATCTCCTGCAGGATTTGTGTCCACACACCACACACTGCCGTCCATATTTTACCCACATTGTTCCATCTCCTGCAGGATTTGTGTCCACACACCACACACTGCCGTCCATATTTTACCCACATTGTTCCATCTCCTGCAGGATTTGTGTCCACACACTGCCGTCCATATTTTACCCACATTGTTCCATCTCCTGCAGGATTTGTGTCCACACACCACACACTGCCGTCCATATTTTACCCACATTGTTCCATCTCCTGCAGGATTTGTGTCCACACACCACACACTGCCGTCCATATTTTACCCACATTGTTCCATCTCCTGCAGGATTTGTGTCCACACACCACACACTGCCGTCCATATTTTACCCACATTGTTCCATCTCCTGCAGGATTTGTGTCCACACACCACACACTGCCGTCCATATTTTACCCACATTGTTCCATCTCCTGCAGGATTTGTGTCCACACACTGCCGTCCATATTTTACCCACATTGTTCCATCTCCTGCAGGATTTGTGTCCACACACTGCCGTCCATATTTTACCCACATTGTTCCATCTCCTGCAGGATTTGTGTCCACACACTGCCGTCCATATTTTACCCACATTGTTCCATCTCCTGCAGGATTTGTGTCCACACACTGCCGTCCATATTTTACCCACATTGTTCCATCTCCTGCAGGATTTGTGTCCCCAAACACCAGGCACTAGAGGATGACTGGCGGGCCTACCGCAGTGCCATCCACAACTTCTACGCCATCGCCAGGTCGCAACAACAGCCGTGGGAACGGGAGTTGGAGCAGAGCAAGATTCTCGCCATCGTCACGCGAGTGTTGTCCTCATCTGGGTACTGTCCGCGGTCTTTGATTTCATCTAGGCACCAGCAGCTGATTTATCTTTTTATTTTCATGAAACAGGAAATGGGGTGGTCTTTAAAAAAAAAAAGAAATCAGCACGTCACAAATCATAATAAGTTTATTACATTTTAGCAGAAATACGATCATAGTTAGGAATTCGATATCAAGATCTTCTATTCCTCTCTTTAGCTAACCCTCCCCTTAAATCTTCTCTGTGTCCTTAAATTGTCCTATCTCTATCCTACCCAACCCCACAATGTCCTTAAATTGTCCTCTTCCATCTCTATCCTACCCAACCCCACAATGTCCTTAAATTTTCCTCTTCCATCTCTATCCTACCCAACCTCACAATGTCCTTAAATTGTCCTCTTCTATCTCTAATCTACCCAAACTCACAATGTCTTTAAATTGTCCTGTTCTATATCTATCCTACCCAACCCCACAATCCTCTCAATGTCCTTAAATTGTCCTCTTCAATCTCTATCCTACCCAACCCCACAATGTCATTAAATTCTCCTGTTTTATATCTATTCTACCCAACCCCACAATCCTCTGAATGTCCTTAAATTGTCCTCTTCCATCTCTATCCTACCCAACCCCACAATGTCCTTAAATTGTCCTGTTCTATATCTATTCTACCCAACCCCACAATGTCCTTAAATTGTCCTGTTCTATATCTATCCTACCCAACCCCACAATGTCCTTAAATTGTCCTCTTCTATCTCTAATCTACCCAAACTCACAATGTCTTTAAATTGTCCTGTTCTATATCTATCCTACCCAACCCCACAATGTCCTTAAATTGTCCTCTTCCATCTCTATCCTACCCAACCCCACAATGTCCTTAAATTGTCCTGTTCTATATCTATTCTACCCAACCCCACAATGTCCTTAAATTGTCCTGTTCTATATCTATCCTACCCAACCCCACAATGTCCTTAAATTGTCCTGTTCTATATCTATTCTACCCAACCCCACAATCCTCTCAATATCCTTAAATTGTCCTCGTCCTGTTAACTTAACCTCTACATTTCTGGCCATGTCTCTAGCATACTCCTTTAATTAATTCTGTCAATGATCTTATCTTTTTCGTAACCTTTGACCCGAGTGCTCTTCTCAATACTCTCAATGACGCTACGTTTCATTTAGACCTTTGACCAGAATGCCCCCCCTCCCCCGCTCCTCCCTTCAATACTCACACTGACCATACGTTGTTTTTGCAGAATGCCCCCTGAACTTCTATCCAAGACAAACGTCTCAAAAATTATCCCCAACGCCACTGTGGATCTGTACAAGAACGGTATGGCCCACCCAGCCGGGTTCCTCTACCGGCACTACAAGAACGGGAAGGTGCCTCCGCAGATGAGAAAGTCAAACGTGAAAAATATCGTCATTTCAGGTGGGTCACCTACCGCATGTGCTGTTCATGGAGCGGCATATACACATGTACTTGTTGGATGCTTTCTGATCAGCGCGACAAATACTGATTATTATAGTACAAATACAGATCTATGGGGATGCGGGGTTTCTCCAATTTATTGAATTTTAAAAAATATTTTTACATTTAATTACATGAACACACACACACACACAGAAACCCTCGCCCTAATTCCCATAAAAAAATGTAAAGGCTAGATCCAACAAAGATGTAACTTACTATAATACAGATCCAAATGGTTAGAGCATACATTTTTCCTAAAAGTTTAATGAAACCAAATCATTCAAACTGCTAGCGCCATTGTGGCAAGTTGGCTACGCTATTAAAACCATTATTTTAGCAATAGGCTTTAGATCAGTCAAAATGTTTGTAAAAATCCCGTTAGTCTAACTGTATTTCAAAGTTTTGATTTAATGATAGATCAATATCTGTGTTTGCTCTGTGATCCCTTCTATAATATCTGTGTTTGCTCTCTCTGATCTGATGATGATCCTTTCTATAATGTCTGTGTTTGCTGTATGCAGATCCCTTCTCTAATGTCTGTTTGCTCTCTATGATCCCTTCCATAATGTCTGTGTTTGCTGATCCCTTCTATAATATCTGTGTTTCCTCTCTATGACCCCTTCCATAATGTCTGTGTCTGCTCTCCCCAGATCCCTTCCATAATGTCTGTGTTTGCTGATCCCTTCTATAATGTCTGTGTCTGCTCTCCCCAGATCCCTTCCATAATGTCTGTGTTTGCTGATCCCTTCTATAATGTCTGTGCCTGCTCTCTATGATCCCTTCTATAATGTCTGTGTCTGCTCTCTATGATCTCTTCCATAATGTCTGTGTTTGCTGATCCCTTCTATAATGTCTGTGCCTGCTCTCTATGATCCCTTCTATAATGTCTGTGTCTGCTCTCTATGATCTCTTCCATAATGTCTGTGTTTGCTGATCCCTTCTATAATGTCTGTGTCTGCTCTCCCCAGATCCCTTCTATAATGTCTGTGTCTGTTCTCTGCAGATCCCTTCTATAATGTCTGTGTCTGCTCTCTATGATCCCTTCTATAATGTCTGTGTCTGCTCTCTGCAGATCCCTTCTATAATGTCTGTGTCTGTTCTCTGCAGATCCCTTCTATAATGTCTGTGTCTGCTCTCTACAGATCCCTTCTATAATGTCTGTGTCTGCTCTCTATGATCCCTTCTATAATGTCTGTGTCTGCTCTCTACAGAACCCTTCTATAATGTCTGTGTCTGCTCTCTATGATCCCTTCCATAATGTCTGTGTTTGCTGATCCCTTCTATAATGTCTGTGTTTTCTCTCCCCAGATCCCTTCTATAATGTCTGTGTCTGCTCTCTATGATCCCTTCTATAATGTCTGTGTCTGCTCTCTATGATCCCTTCTATAATGTCTGTGTCTGCTCTCTGCAGATCCCTTCTATAATGTCTGTGTCTGTTCTCTGCAGATCCCTTCTATAATGTCTGTGTCTGCTCTCCCCAGATCCCTTCTATAATGTCTGTGTCTGCTCTCCCCAGATCCCTTCTATAATGTCTGTGTCTGCTCTCTATGATCCCTTCCATAATGTCTGTGTTTGCTGATCCCTTCTATAATGTCTGTGTTTTCTCTCCCCAGATCCCTTCTATAATGTCTGTGTCTGCTCTCTATGATCCCTTCTATAATGTCTGTGTCTGCTCTCTATGATCCCTTCTATAATGTCTGTGTCTGCTCTCTGCAGATCCCTTCTATAATGTCTGTGTCTGTTCTCTGCAGATCCCTTCTATAATGTCTGTGTCTGCTCTCCCCAGATCCCTTCTATAATGTCTGTGTCTGCTCTCCCCAGATCCCTTCCATAATGTCTGTGTTTGCTGATCCCTTCTATAATGTCTGTGTCTGCTCTCTGTGATCCCTTCCATAATGTCTGTGTCTGCTATCTCCCTTCCATAATGTCTGTGTCTGCTCTCCCCAGATCCCTTCTATAATGTCTGTGTTTTCTCTCCCCAGATCCCTTCCATAATGTCTGTGTTTGCTGATCCCTTCTATAATGTCTGTGTTTGCTGATCCCTTCCATAATGTCTGTGTCTGCTCTCCCCAGATCCCTTCCAGCACATGTCCCGGGCTCCGAGCGTCAGCAGCACGGAGCCCGACTGGGACGCCGACGTCATCATCAATGGTACCGAGAAAACTGACCTCTTCGTCTACAACGAACCGGACGCCATCCCCGCCTCCTGCGTCAGGACCAACTTCGCTGTGCCCATCACCAAGCGCGTGGAGAACATCGTCACATCCGCCCACTACTCCAGGCAAGCTGACCGCAACATCCGCATAGCGCTGCCCGTCCCGCCGAGGGCACCGGTCGTACCGATGGTTTCGCCAAGCCTCTTGCCGAAACAGATGGGTTCGAGTCGCATGCTAGCGGCATCGCCGAACTACCTAGATAGTCTGATGAAGGGCGACAAGTACGCCAACGCCCTTAATCTCAGCCCCGAGTGACACATGGCGCTGACATGCCACATTTCGCAAGCCCCCACCAACGACATCATGCCTACAACATACACTACTAACACAATGACAAGACTCAATAGTGATGTTAAATGTTTTCATAATTTGTATCCAATAAAAGTATGCCTATACTTTATGGTTTATAAAGTGTTCTTTGTTAAAAATGTTTAAAGACAAATTGTGTAGTTTTTTTACACTCATCTTTGTTTTATTTGTTCTTAATTGTAATGTTCGACGGGATTTCTTTCAACGTAATAAGGTATTATGCGCCTTTATATGAACAGCTGATTCAGATTTCAGCCTGCTTTTTTCCTGAGATTGCTTCCGTAGCCTTTATACAAGAAGAAACTAGATTCTATAATGTAGCAAGTTATTCAATTTTGTTTTTTGTCCGAGATGGGTTCCTAGTTCCTGTCCCCAGCTATCGAACCACATCCAGTGTTTCTTCCAGATTTTTTTCTCCGCTTTGTTTGGCATTAGTCATCTCTTTAATTTAAAACCAATAAATTATGTACATTTTCAAAATTACCAATCAATATACTTATAGGCAGACCTTATCTCAAATTTTATACGCAACGAAAGGGTATGTATCCATGTATTCATAATTTCAATACATTTAAAAGTAGCCTCCCTTTAATATAGTTTATAGTTTCGAATATTTTTACAGTTTATATTTTGACACATATGTAATGATAAAATCATTTACCAATAACTATTTCTAGCTCTAGATTTTAATTAAAATAATAGTTTTTCTTTTCCAAAAATATGTCAATCTCAAACATAGTAGCTCTGCTTGATGATGTCACGTGACAAGAGGTGTTCCTGTTAAGTCTAAAAATAAATATAGGCCTAGGTGGGTTTGACTTGTCTTCCTTGAATACAAGATTGTAAATATTCAGATACTGTCGATTGATGTTAGATCTAAAATCTATACTAACTTGCGCTGCTTCAATTATCTTCACTTGTTTTTAAAACTGCATTTTCAGGTTAAAACATGATGTTTGTAATTTGCAAAATCAATGTTTCATTAATAACTTGGTTTTTTTTTTAAAATAACATTTCATTGTGATTGTGAAATCGATTTTTGTTGTTGGTGTGTTCAAAAATTAAAAATAAAAATAATATAAAAACTAGACTAGAATCTAGCTCTAGAATCTAGATCTAGATTCTAGATCTGATATCTAGATCTAAGTAGCGTATTAATCAAGTAAGACAGTAAGTAGAAGTCTAGATCTTAAGTCTAAACGGTAATCTATCGTTTTGGGTACGTAAAATCGCCCGCGACTCTAGTAATGTGAAAAACAGGTGACTCCTTAAATTTTAATAATTATTTCACATTTTGAGGAGGATTTATGTTTTGAAAAATACAAAAATGTTTCCTTCTTTCATTTATGTACCTGTTTTTAAACAATTGAATTAAAACTTTTCAGTAATAAATGAAGACTAGCGATGTTTCCAACAGATGCAACCATGCTCATTTACTATAGCAGCCATCTTGTTTAAGTTTTTTTTTATAGCGGATATAGCGCGAGACAGCCGGAAGTCACTCTATTTTACAAATGGCTGCTGTTTATATAGCAAATCTTGCTCGCAAACACTGCTGTTTAAAGTTAATTTCTGGCATATATTGATATATTTAGCCATTGATTTAGGTTTATTATTCATTTATCTATAATATTTGACACAAATATATCACAATATACTTCTACTAAAGCCTTGACAATGAGGTAACTTTTTCGTACATTAATAGCCGCGGGCGATTTTACGTACCCAAAACGATAGATTACCGTCTAAACAATTAATTTAAATCTAGAATTCAAGATTAGCCTAAGTGGACCTAATGTCCTAACTAAGGCCCCAGTTTCATATGGTATGGTATGGAATAAAACATTTCGGTAATCTATCGTTTTGGGTACGTAAAATCGCCCGCGGCTATTAATGTACGAAAACGTTACCTCATTGTCAAGGCTGTAATAGAAGTATATTGTGATATGTTTGTGTCAAATATTATAGATACATGAATAATGAACCTAAATCAATGGCTAAATATATCAATATAGGCCAGAAATTGACTTTAAACTGCAGTGTCTGCAAGCAAGATTTGCTATATAAACAGCAGCCATTTGTAAAATAGAGTGACTTCCGCCTGAATCTCGGCTATAACTGTCTATAAAAATAAAACTAACAAGATGTCTGCTATAGTAAATGAGCATGGTTGCATCTGTTGGAAACATCGCTGGTGTTCATTTATTACTGAAAAGTTTTAATTCAATTGTTTAAAAACCGGTACATAAATGAAACAAGGAAATATTTTGGTTTTCTTCAAAACATAAATCCTCCTCAAAATGTGAAATAATTATTAAAATGTAAGGAGTCACCTGTTTTTCACATTACTAGTCGCGGGCGATTTTACGTACCTAAAACGATAGATTACCAACATTTCTTAGGTAATCAACCTCCTACCTATCCTACAGCTTACAGTTGGGGGCCCCAACTTATTAACTAAGCTGTATATATAATATATACTATTATATACCCCTACCATCTAGGCTATAGGTCTAGGCCTAATATAATCCTCTTCATGGACAGACCATGTGTGACACCACCACGACATAAGCTCAGCAGACCATATACCACTCCCACCTCCACCAGTCTGGTGAACTGTTTACAATCTTAGTGCTGGGTCGAATTTGTGACGGCTATTAGGGGCAGATAATCTAGTATTGAAACAATTTTGAAACTAAGGGGGAGGTAATAACAAATTCTGCTTCATCACAGACGGCTGCTTTCACTGTGGATGGGGGGGGGGGGGGGGGGGGGGTGGAAAGCTACTGATAATGTTTTAAAGCAAAAAAAATATTAAAATATTTTCAGTCGCAGCATTGGTAGTGTCGAATTCACAAATTAGGAATTACTGAAAAATAGGAATTAGAACAACTAAATAGCTGTGTATGCTACGTAGCATGTCAGCTCGTCTAGACAAATGCAGTAATTAGATCTACTAATAACTAGTTATTTTTTAGGCCTATATTAAGCCAATTAAAGCCTAGTGGTCCTAGTACACACCACACACACAGTAGTCACCATATTTCCTCTACAAAACACAAAAGAGGCACTGAATTCAATAGGCAATTTTTTAGCATTTTCAAAATGTTGGCCCAGACTATTCATTTTAGTAAAATTATCATAATATGTTTTAACTTATTTATGAAGTTTTCTTATAAGTAATATAAGTTAACCTTTACTTTTGACTTAAGGTTAGGAAGTGGCTGTTCTGTTCCATTACGCAAAGCTTGCTTTTACCTGTCATTTCTTGCACTTATTTATTTGATTGGTTGAATACTTTTTTAATGGCTTCTATTTACGGCCCTTACTTACTCTTAGTATGTTCAACTATGTTTATCTGTTCCTTGACCATGGCATATAAAGGGATGGTGTGATCAGTACACTGTCCTTTCAGTACTATTCCCAATGGCCTTTACTTTTCCTCTTGTGAGTCAGGTATGCATCAGCAACATCCTATGAACTCTGGTCTAAGAACCAAGTTTGATACATCAGTTCGCTGTTGCATGCTCTACACCCAACCATCACATCCATTAAGTTTTTTTTTTTTTTTTAAATTGTCTTGAGTAAGCTGCCCCATACAGATGAATTAAGTTTGCTGTAACTCTTTTCACAGGTGAAATTATGGGCTGGATCTGTCACCTGTTCAACTGCTGGAATGTTATTACTTAGTTGCTGTTAGGATTAACGTCATCCAAAATGAGTAAGTCAGAGTTTTTTTCAACACGCTTTCAGAGGTATTTTTTCAATACCTCAAAACTAAAACATTTTTGTTTTCTAACATTTATACTGTTATTTTTGTTAGCTACCCTTGAATGTGTCTAGAACTGAGTCTAAGCATTAGACTCATTAGTCTGTTTAAGAAATTACTTTATGATATTATATTTTTTCCAATTCTACACCAGAGTTAGTCCCACAAAAAATGTTTGTTTTATTTAGGCCTCACTGACTGGGAGATAAAATGCACGCTCAATAGATTGTCTTTTGATAATATCATTGCTTACACATAAAGTGTTTTTTTCTTTTAAAAAGAACTACACTAACTCTCTCATGTCTCATTTCTGTACAAAAGCACTAAGTTACATTTACCTGTTAATGTTGATGCAGCATATGAAGGTTTAATATCAGTCCTATGCTCAACCATTTTACTTTCCTGAACCTAAATCATGTGTAATGTGCTGATCACAAATAAGATTTGTTTAATTGTGGTAGTTTTGAACTAAATCTGCAGTTGTTTTGTAAAATACAAATAACCTTGTCTAAGCCTTTTTGTCAATCTAAACATGTAGTGGATGATGATCACATGTATTTTGTCATTAGTTTTGCATGAGCTGTTTGTGGTTTGCCTCATAATCTGATTGCTCATAAGTAGCTATTGCCAGCTCTTCCTTTTGATTTGACTAGTTTTCAGAAAAGTCCAGCTTTATTATACTTTCTACTTATAGCATTATATACTTTCAAGCAGTGTTCCTTCATGACTTTTTTTGGGAGGCGGACACTGTATATATTTTCTATATAAATTCCATTTCGTGCGGGGGCAGTAGACTTTCTCGAATGGTATGACATCAAATAATTTTTAGCTGTAGTAAATTTAAAGATTAAATATATATATTTATTTATGGCTGATTTGAATTGCAAATTACTAAGTGAATTATTTTATTTATAATTTATTTGCACTGTATAAAAAAATATATTTAATAGTGCTTATACAAGTTTTTTGTTATTGATAGACTAATAATTTGACTGCTGTAGCTTAGTGTAACACATAGCTCTATAGCAGATCCTTTGTTTTGTATGATGGATCTGACACCTTGGATAATACCTTAGGTTTAATAAAGTTTTCTGCATCATGTAATTTATAATACACTTTTAATCTACAATTGAGATATGAATGTTTAATATAATGTAACTTGGACTTATACATTTAGATTTAAATAATATTGACATAAATAATTAATCCCCTAAACACAAAATCAAGGTTTTGAATATTTTGGCTAGATTCTGTATTTGTCAGGAGTCTTATTTGCGAATGACATCACACTACTGAGATAGGGTGTGGGGTGGGGGGGAGTATTAGAAAGTGTCAAGTAACACTTTGCATTACAAAAAACTAAAACTTATATTGGCAGCTTTCTTGCTTTGTATATGTAATAATTATAATTTAATCAATGTACCAAATCCTAACCCAGCTCTGGTAAAATTTAAAAGAAAAAGTTTATTTGTGAAGGGGGGTGGGGGTGAAATTGGGTTAAAGATCATCAAAAAGATGTGATCCCCAAACTGATTTTCTGTTTGAATTTATAAAATAATAAATATATGAAATAATAGATGCCAATATTTAGAAAAATAAAGTACTTTCTATTTCTTTTGTATAGGGGCCTACATGCTAATCATAACTGTGTTCTAAAACCATTACAGCCATCCTTTGATAACATTCTTTGGTCATTGTTTACTATCAGGATTAAATAATCTTAAGCCTGCCATTAATTGATTTGTTCATCTACATCATTACTCTCCATGGGAATTAAATGTGTGTATTGTTTGAAGTATGTCATGGGGACAACAGGCGAGATACTACATTTCTTGTGTTTCATTCATAAGAGATCACATCCTATGGGAAACCTCGCCCCACACTATCTGTCCCACCATCTCCACTCCACACTATCTGTTGGAGAATATTTAAACGCTATTTTTGTTTCCTAGTTCTGTCCGATGTCAAGTGAATTGCATGATATTGATGGGGACTTGATATTTAAAAAAAACAACAACATAAGAGCATTTTCTTGGATAAAGGTCCTTTTTTTCCCCATTGTATAATGATAATGAGAGGGAAACTTGAAGCTGTGTGGTGTGACATATGTGGAATCAATTTGATATACGTCAGTCTTGAGCAAGACAAGTTGGTATTTAATGTTGTGGGGGGGGGGGGGGCTGTATAGGACTGCACGGCAACTTAACAAGCGATTTAGTTGGGCCTAAACATGACCAGACTTTCTGGTTTTTGTTAGTGTAGGTGGTGGGCCGTATGCACTACTTTTAAACATAGTTTAAGAGAGGGCTGATGTAGGGGAATTCATCCGGGTCTGAATCTGTAGATCCGACTATGGTTGTTACCTATCATACAGTACTAACACGTTGTAAATATTACTGTGTATTACGATTGGACATATTACACTCAACGCAAGCGTTCTCAGGAAGACGATATGATTTATCTCTGTCTGTCATTTACCTACCACCAATAAACCAGAGACACCTACTAACCTAGTTTAGTCAGGGTGTAAACACTTTATTCTTTCACTTTCTAAGCGTTTAAAGCCTGATTTCCTTGACACCGTTTGAACATACAGTCATGAATAAATGTAAACGTGTCCGTGCAGTTTAATTTTTATAAATATTGTTTTCAACTGCAAGTTTCCGTAGTTTGCTTTGTTAGACGCTACAGGAATTCAGTTGAATGGTAGGGTTGACTGGGGACTTGGGTCACTTTGCCTGGTGCTCTTTTGACTGTAGCTTCGACATGTCACTCGTTGGTTCGTGTCGTGAGCCAAGCTGCAGCCATATAAGCGATGGTTTGTTGGCTTAGCTAGGCTACAGCCATAGACTCAATGAATAGTGGGATGATCTTTCGGCAGCCATACACCCGATGGTTTGTTGGCTTAGCTAGGCTGCAGCCATAGACTCAATGAATAGTGGGATGATCTTTCGGCAGCCATATACCCGATGGTTTGTTGGCTTAGCTAGGCTACAGCCATAGACTCAATGAATAGTGGGATGATCTTTCTGCAGCCATAGAATTTGTGTTTGGTGGGTTGAGCTGCCTGCAGACATAAATCCTATCTAGCCGTGGCCCAAGTTGTGCAGTGTAAACATACACACTGTTCTTGTCGCGCTTTGTCACGACACTCGACTCAGTTTATTACTTTACACTTTGATCTCCAGTGATAAACAGCCGCTCACGGCCTAGTGAATTGGTACATACGAGTAGTTGTATCGTGGTTATGTGTTTTATTAGCTGAACATTACTAGACTTCCTTCTTTCACCGCACATCTAGTAGAAGCTGGTAGTGTTATTTATTGAGGGATTACTCTAACATTCCTTGGAGTCCTCGCTTTTTGTTCCTCGTTCCTGCTATTGTGCAATGCTTTCTCACAGCTGTCCTATTGCACAATAACGTAGTGTTACATTATTTTATATGCTGTTCTCTCCAAACCATGGCCTTGTGACGCCACTTACTTCCAAACCATGGGCTTGTGACGCCAATCGCTCTCCAACCATGGCCTCGTGACGCCAATCACTCTCCAACCATGGCCTTGTGACGCCAATCGCTCTCCAACCATGGCCTTGTGACGCCAATCGCTCTCCAACCATGGCCTCGTGAAGCCAATCACTTTCCAAACCATGGCCTTGTGACGCCAATCACTCTCCAAACCATGGCCTTGTGACGCCAATCGCTCTCCAACCATGGCCTCGTGACGCCAATCACTCTCCAACCATGGCCTCGTGAAGCCAATCACTTTCCAAACCATGGCCTTGTGACGCCAATCGCTCTCCAACCATGGCCTTGTGACGCCAATCACTCTCCAACCATGGCCTTGTGACGCCAATCACTCTCCAACCATGGCCTCGTGACGCCAATCACTTTCCAAACCATGGCCTCGTGACGCCAATCACTCTCCAAACCATGGCCTTGTGACGCCACTCCCAAACCATGGCCTTGTGACTCCAGTCACAACCCGCCAACATTAACAACAGGTGTAGTGGTTTGGATACGGGCCACTCATTCCTCTGTTGTTAATTACAACGTTACGCGACAGCGACCTCTCGAGCAATGCCAGTTCCCCTGAGAGTCAGTTGTGATGAAGCCACTCCCCTTTTGGGTGATGCAGAGCCATTGTTTTTGGACACAGTCCACAACACGTGCATGGTTAGTACCCTAGGGATCGTTGTTGTGGTTTCCATTAGAGCAGAGGAATACAGCGTGGTTGTGCTGACTTGTGTAGTGATAGTGACGTTTTTAAGGTAGCCCAGAGCGTATTAAACTAATAAAGCAGAGGTCTAGATCATGTATTTTATGATCATCTCTATTTGGGGGGTTCTCTATAGTTTGTTACTCTAGTAGTTCATAGAGCTGCTGTTTAGTCTAAGAGAGTACGACAGAAATAGGTTTCTGCTGAATTATTAGAACGGCCGTACTCAACAAAGTCTTAAGTCAGCTTTGTGTTTGTGTAAAACGGAACCGTTGCTTCAGACGGCCGGCTAAGCCGAGAAGTCGAGTCTTTGCAAGTTTGTCGAGCAAATGTTTGGCTAGACAGCATTGGGGGGGGGGGGGGGGGTGACACCAGTTAACGGTTTGGTCAGCCGCTGACTAGGTCATAGATGCGGCGTGTGTGTGTGTGTGTCTAGTGCAACATCGGTGTGCAACTCGACATGGTCAAGCTAAGAAACTGCTCGTTGGTGTCAAGGTTCACCCTCGTCGTACAACTCACCGAGGTCAAGGTGATAGATACCACTTGTGGGTGTCAAAGTGCATCTTTCTTGGTTAGGTCAGTGACGTAACTGATGCGTCATGGCTGACTCGTCACGGCCAGATTTATAATTGTGTGGTCAGATGGGATTTCCCTCTCAACTTGAGTCTGTCAGTCAACTATTTGTCCTGAGATTTCCCCTGGGCTTCACATGAACCTATCAGTCACCTTCTCGTC